CTACCTGCCAGGCTCTTATCCACTGCTGTAAGCTAGGTTGTCTCAGAATTTCATCACATAACTGGGTGCTGGCTGATTTTCAAGTCCCAGTTTACCTTCAGTATGCACATGTGGACAGACAGTGAAGGAAAACTTCTCCCCTCCTTTCCCCACTAATTCTTGAAAGAAGTTGAGAAATCCAGAATTAAAAAAAAAAAAGCTTAGCAAAAGACATATATCATACTCCTATTCCCTACCTGTGACTTGCGACACCTACACTGTATGGAAAGGTAAGAGGGGCAAACCACATTTTTCAGATCCACGTGATTGGTAGAAGACAGAGGAGATGGTGAAAGCTACAATCTCTCCATTTATGTTTTTTTCACATAAGTAAGAGAGGAAAAGCTTTCCATAAAAATGGGAGAGATGAAAAGTTTATAAAAAATGGGACAGAGGTAAACAAAAACTTGAAGATACCTTCTGCCTGTTCAGAGAAATCTTTAACTGCTTCTTTATGCAAAATATAACCCATTTTATTTTGAGCTAATGGTGTCCTAAGAGCATTACTCTTATCAACATACAGAATCTTGCAGCTTTATGAAGTCTGATTACTTGATCCCAAAGCTCCAGATTCCCTCTACTGAGTCTGTTGTCTCTGTGAGCTCCCAATGAGAGGTTCAATGGGGTGCAGCCAGCAAGGTTATTCTCTTCCTAAAGCCTCTGCTGGACCTTTTTATTTCCAAGAAGAGAGAAAGTAAGAAAAAGGAAGTAAATCTTATTAGGAAGAACATCCTGGAGTTTAATTAAAATGGCAAATGTAAAAGTTAAAAAATAATAAAAAGCTACATGTCATGAAAGATAAAACAGTAGAATAAATACATATACATATAGCAGTTTTCAAAATAGTCTTATCTTAGAATAAAAACATAACAACTGCCAGGAAAATGACAGGCAATACTAATAAAGACATTCTGTTTAAATATTTGGCATTTTAATTTACAAACATACACTTTCTCTTCTGTATTTATTTCAGGAAAACATGGGGTCATGCTGTAAAGTTCTGGCATTTGTGTTCTCTTTTTTATTGTTCCTTGGGAAAAAAAAAGTATGACTTTTGCTGTTCATTCTCCTTCTTTAAATTACTGAATGCAGCTGGGCTCTGTGTCCCACCGGGGAGCAGACCACTACGCAGAACGTTTTACCATGATGCTCTTCTGGGAAAATGGGAAGCTACATTAGGGGTGTTGATTCGGACTCAGCCTCTTAAAAAAACTACTTAATCGTATCTACTTTTGGCAACAAGCAAACAGATTGCTTTCACTGATTTATTTTCTCTTTCAATGCTTTATCTTTTCTTGATCTTCTCTTTGAAGTTAGTGTGTTTTCAGGGTGATATTTGCTTCCAAGGGCTTTTCTTCTCATTCCGATCATGTAAACTGGTAAAGAGTGAGACAATCCTCCCTACCACGCAGTTCTGCTGTATTTTGTTGGCAGGTGAATGACAGGTACAACTTCTGTGCTGTCAAGAGCATGGAAAGTGTACTTGTTATTTTACTAATAGTAGGACTCCTGAGATCTAAAAAATCAAATCAATTCTTCAAATGTTAACAGTGAATGTCTTGAACTTTGCATCTTTTAGATGACGGCTCTTCCATCTTCAGTGCTTCTAAATTACTGGAATCAGATTTGCCCTTATCCAAGACAACTGTTACACCAGACAGAAGGTACCCTCCACCTCCGCTCATTGTCAGTTTTGGATGGCTTCGATCTGGTAGGACCTTTAAAAAAACAAAACCCAAAACAAAAACGAAACAAAACAAAAATGTAGTAAAAAAGTCACTCTATACATGGACATGAAATTGTTTAAGTGTATAGTACAAGATGTAATATTTTTTCCAGCCACCACAACAAACAGCTACTTGGAAAGGCTATTTATCTTTAAAAGGCAAAGTCTCTGCATACCAGAAACCAGTTACAGAAATTTGCAGGAATACATGTTACTGCCTTACTGATTACTTCCTCATGGCATTTCCAGCAAAATTAAATATTCAATGTTTGGAGTACCTGAAAGTCTCATGAATGTGTTTACAACTTTGCAAGAAACCACAGCTGGTCTAACAAAACTGAATTAATATAGTAATTTCCACTTCCCATCACTATAATCTCTACATAGCTACATGACAATGAACCATCACTTTCAGCTACATTACCTGTGTGACCTAGTCTAGATGATCCTGCTCTGGCAGGGGCGTTGGACTGGATGATCTTTCAAGGTCCCTTCCAACTCCTAACATTCTGTGATTCTGTGATTACGTTCTTCTGTAAACACATTCTCTTCAGTTATGCTTTCTCCTTGCTCTGCCATCGCAGGTGTAAGCCGATTTACACATGTCCGAGAGACAGTGCAGTGTTGTTCCTGACTGCACCTGGGCAGAGTAACCCTTGCCAAGCCCAACTTGTGGGAACATTGTCTAGCAATCTCCTAATCATTCCCCATTTGGTTGCCTGATCAACAGTCACTAGTCATGGCCACCCGTGAATTAAGTCATCCCCTAAATAATAATTCCTTATGGACTCCAGAAGCCTGTGGGCAAGGAGAAGGTCAGTAAAATGCAAGAACCCCTTCAGAGGTGGGGAGCTACTTTGCAATCAGACATGCTTCTACGTCGTCATTGCAGAGAGGGTACTCCACATTTGAGAACATCTTGTTCAAACAAAGTTAGCAAAACTGACATTTTTTTACACTGGAAATGTTTTCCCCTCTCATCTTGTTTTCATTGTTCACTTCCCAGACTAGAAAATTCTTGTTTCTCTAGTTCCAGGAAATGTGTTATTTGAAGACAATGACTGTGTAAGTCACCACCGTTCTTAACATTACAAATCTTGTTTCAGCTATGAAACCAACTGGAAATGAATAAACACTTGTAATATTTTGCTACATCTCTCTTACACGACGTTAGACTGTCCCTCACTTTAGGTTAGCTACTAAAGCAGCAAAACAATTAAATCTGTCAGTGTGCTACAGACATTTCAGCAAATATTTTAACAAAATACTTTGTAAGTAGAAGTGTTTCCAATTTGAAATTGTTGCAATGAAGCATTGAAACTCTTCAGAACATTTGCCCACTGCTCGCAGGTAAAACAAATGCATGAGCTTACACATGGTTTTAGTCAGTCCAAAGATTATTTTCAGAGGGTGTTTCGCTCCACACTATTCATGCAGTTTTGACTGGCATTTACTGCAATGCTTACCTGGTAGTTTCGTAGCCAGGTTTCAGACAGCTTTAGGTTAACAACACCACCTCTTTCTCTCAGCTTTGTGTAACATTCTAATAATGGCTGAAAAAAACCCCAAACAAATAGCATGTTATACAGCAGAACAAACTCAAACACAAACTATAACAGCTAAAGTAACATACTGGATTTACCTCTTTATACTGGCAGTAGACAACAAAAGGCCTTGAAGGAGCAACAAATTCCAGTAGAGAAAGTAATAAAAGAGTGGGATGAAACTTGCTGGCTACAATTAAGCTGCAAAAGAAATTTCACATGTTAGTTTTCTGCTTCTAAAAGCTATTAATCAAGTGACATTTTCTCCTACTTTAGCACAGCGGTCAATTATAGTTTAAATGTTGCTACTAGTATGTTTTCATGGCTCTAACGACTCCCCTCATGTAAAAACACATCACGATTTCCTGCTTGCGTAATTAAGAGGATAAAACACTTGTTCCCTAAAGTGCAGTGTATTAAGCACATTGCAGAAGCATTCATTTCAGCTGTGTTGAGCTCCACAATAATTCTTACGACCCAAGAATTCGCATGCTGCTTTCTCTACTCTAAGAACACTGTCCAAATGTAATTTAAATTTTGTGACTGCTAACTGTTTCTTAGAATGTAACCTCAGTTGTGATTCTTTAAACCAGGTAATCTTCATTAAATACATTTTATACTGAAAAAGTTATTATTTAACGAGAAAACAATCCCTTTGTGGGCACAACTAAAAATCTTTTTAAAAGAAATTATGACTATGCCAACTTAAAGGCTTCATATTTTATTTTTCATCCTTGTTTTAATAGCACATTATAACTCATAGACGCTTAAGATTCTCTGCAGGTATCTTGAGTTTTTATTTTAAAAAATTGCTGCTAAACTATACTGCAAGAAATAGTTCATGATTCTATGAGATAATAAGTTGTAGGTGTGCAAAAAGAATGGGCAATTAAACTGCTTCTCCAGTATACAATTACTATAGGAAAAGACTCATCAATTAATAACGTTTGTTCTCTAGAGGAGTGTATGTCACTGGAGATACCATCAAACTTACCTAACAAAAGGGAGGGTAAAATGGATGTTCAATTTTCTAAACTCAGTGCAGATAGAGATGAGAGAATTCCTTCACACTTGTTTCCATTTTGCTTTTCTGCTGGCCATGGTCTTGCAGGCTACAGATTTAACTCTAATTCCAAACCTCAAAAAAAATTGTGCTCAGTAATAAACCAAGTGGACCATAAAGAAAAAAAGACTCCAGACTGTGCCTGAGGAGGTTTGGAGTGCTAAACCAACACTGCAAGGAGCTCTGCCAGACCACAGGAAGGTAAGTCAGGGATATGAGAGACTGAAAAATCCAATACTGTTCTCTCATATGGCAGCACACATTGATGTCAGCAGGTAGTCTGGCCAGTCACTACATTAATGTAAGGGGTGAGAGGGGAGAAGGAGGGTAGGGAAGGTGAGTGGAGGGGTGTGATCTAATTCTGAACACATGGAGTCTATCAACTAATTTCCACTTTCATCGTATCAGAAAAATTTTATAGTCTATCTTGAAAAAAGTCATCTTTAAAAGAAGACCAAATCTCTAAGGAATGTCTTCCTTTTCCCCCTCAAAGACCTATGACAGACTTGAACTGTCATGAATGGAATTGCACAAACAGATCTAGCAGAAGGACTGTTTTACCACCTAACAGCACAGAAGACAAGTTTTATTAAAATTTTATCTTCTACTTTAAGTATTGTAAATTTGGGACCTCAAGAAGTAATTCTCCTACAGCTGGTGCCCATCTTTACCTAATGACCAGGTTTTCTTCTGCTCTGACAGCAAGTCCTAATCTCCAATGTTAATGATATTTTACCTATCCTTTCCCTGTTTCTCCCTGGCAAAGCAAAATCCTGACTTCTCTGCCTGCTTCTACTCACGTGCCAAGTTGTTAGCATTTCTTTATTCCATGCCATATTTTCCTGGCTTAGCAGTATATGTACCCTGTGGTTCTTGTTCTAAACAAATGGAAGGGTATAAAAGGCAGGTGACCACAGAAAGGTGATCCTGACTGAGCCATCTGGGACAGTGCCTTCAGGCAACCATAAACTTCTCCTCCCCTCCATCATGCTGAAGACTTCCTAGAGCAAGAACTCACTCATTCCTTCAAGTATGTAATTTGTTACAGCTTTCATGCATTACAAAGGACAAAAGAAGTATTCAAGTGACTGAAAACAAAAGAACAAGAGACATATACTAAATAGGCTTCCTTGAACTCAAACTTAATGAACAAGCAAATGTATTTTACACTAGAGGAAAAATCAAGTGAAGTCAAATACTAGTTTTCACTTTGCCAGACCATGCACAGACATTAATGACTATGATGGGTGCAGGAGACAGCAGTAAAACCAGAACAAAACACTACCACTCTTTACGCAGCTTAATGGTCATCCACATGCATAACCTGTGGTGCTGCTGCTGCCAAACACATGTGCAGGACTTTTACAAACCTCCTTTACTGTTCTATTGCTTCAAAGAACACAGAATCACCCGTCATAACATCCTTATAGAAAAGGCTAATACTACCACTTCAATATGCTAGATGAGATGTACTAAAATATGAATCAGCATGAGTTACATTTCATAATAATAAAACCAAAAACTATACACAGGCATTTACACATAACCAATAAATCTGTATTAAAATTTATCTGACAAGAACAGCTTTATTCCCAGTGAGTCAATATTCTTAGGAGGAAACAATGAATATGAATGTTATTAAATTAACTAAATCAGAGTTACTTGATTAACTCAAATAACTTCTGCACTTGTTAAGAACATCATGAAAAAGTCAGAGGCACCAAGTTCTCTTATACTGCTGTGGGGCTGAATTTCTAGGAATATGTTTACTGTATTTTTTTAAACTTCTGATATTAAATCTTCGTGTTAGTGTGTTCCCTGTGAACATCTGATCCTGGATAAAGCAGCTAAAATGAAGTTATGGGTTTTCTTCCTGTTTAAAAAGGAAATTAGTTTCTAAAACAAACCCCCAAAACAACAAACTTAGTTCCAATTTCATAAACTTAAAACCTTGTGATTTTTATCAGTAGTCATTTACCTCAACCAGGAAAGAACCAATCAAGACCAAAGACACACCTGGGTTGGCTGCTAGCTTGTAAATATTAAGAATAAAATTAGAGTATTTTTAAAACAAAGCTCTTACTTGTTTCAAAGGAGATGATCTTCTGCAGATGCATTACCAAACAGAAGACCTTTCTGACTACAAACTCACCCGTCAGCATTCTTCTCTCTCAACAAAGCAGCAGTTACTATTAGTTTTTTCCTTCTCTCCCATTGTTTTCTCTGTTTTTCCCGAACCTTTGAAAAACAAAACAAAATCAAAAACCAACAGTTTGCACTTTAGCTGGTAATTATATATTGGATTGCTATTGCATGGACTGAATTTTCATTTTTTTGCATCTTAGATGGCTTAATGTAAGACAAGACAACTTTCAGAGCTCTGTTGTAACACCTGAGTAAGCTGTATTTCAATACATCTGATTCAATACATCTGAATTTTAAGTATATAGACGTGGCTATTCAAGTTTTACAACACTAAATATTCTTACATTTTCTTTATTTTCTTTTTCTTTGTTCTCTTTAAATTCTACATCTTCAGCATTAATGTCCATTGTTTCTTGCTCTTCCATTTGGTTGATCTCCATAGCTGCTTCAGTAGTAGATTCCTCTTCTGTCTCCTGTAGGGAAGTCTGCTTCTCATCAATCAATCCATTGCTTTCTTCCATGAGCGTGGTATCTTCAGGTTCTGAAGGCAGAGTCTCTGTAGAAAATGTCCCAGAGAGGAGGCTGTCTACTTTGCTGAGAGGAAATTCATGAAGATTATCAAAAAAATGTTTTGGAAATCCAAAACAACTGGTAGCAGCTCTAACAGGTCCCCCTCCTGGATACAACTGAACAATGGATCCATAGCCTACGAGCAAAAGAATCAAAAACACATTGGAAAGCCAGAATGTTTTAAATTGCTTAAATTTTCTAAATTTCTAACATCTTTAAATGAATTATTAATTTAAGAATAGTTAAGTAAATTGCCTGTTCTTAATCTAACCATCAATTTAACAGGCTACTGAAATATGCCTCAAGGTAGTTCATCTTTATTGGAAGCACAACAGTTACTGCAACTCAAAAGGACAAGGTACCTCAAAGATTATGCATAGATTAAACATGTATTTAGGATTAGCACATAACATATAAGCAGTGACAAATTGTTAGAAAAGCTAATTTAATTCAGAATTAAAGGACAAATTTTCTACACTATTTGTTACTTATAGCTATGGAGTGGTTTTGATTAAAAAAAGCTATTTTAAACAGAATTACTAGGCAAAGAATTTATTCAACATCCAGACTCTAAAGAAAGATATGCCCCATGTTTAAACAACATACTAAAAAGAACTTGTCAGTAGTTTTATTGAAATTGCATCTTATAAAATTTATTTCAGAAAGTATCCCTATGGCCAAAACTCACAGAAACAAAGACAATTTATAGTACAACTGCCTGTGTGCTGCTCAGCCAACAGACAGCACATCTGGGTGCACATTACATCACCCTTCCTACTTTATTAATAGGCTTCTGAAAATTAATTGTCACCTCTGTCAAGTGTCTTTGAATTATTTGTAATGAAATTAATTCACTGAATTTGAGAAATAAAAAACAAGTCAAACTTCTTCTAGAATATGCTCAAGAAAATATCATATACTAATTTTAAAACACGCATTTTGCAGACGTTAAATCTCTGGCGCAGCGAACAAGAGGAAGGACAACATTTTAAATGCTCTAGGCTATCTGAATTCCAGTGTTACTACTCCTGTTTCCTGTCATTCTCTTTCCTGGACTTCCCAGGTGCCTGGGAAGAATGTGCATACAGGCTCCTTAACAGCCTTTTCTGAACACAGTATCATTGTGCTAATACAGAAGCCAAAATAGATTGACATACAGTAATGTAAATTTTAAATTTTCTATTTTTAAAAAGAGTGAAAAATAACTCCAACAGAAATATGCAAAATACAAAGTTCTCCAACGGAAAAACAAGTTTCTCTGAATACTAGAGACAGTAAAAGTAGATTTTAAAAACTGAGGAAGTATTTTTAAGTAATGCCTTTTAAAAATATCAGCGATGTGTATTTCTTCAGTTTCAAGTAAGCCCTCAGGCTGTCCATTACTAAAGCTACTGTGTTACTTACCTCCCATTCGCTCCATCACCGCACCCAGCACAAGGCCTGCACACGTTTCCATTATGATCATCTTGTTGCCAGCACGGACGTTTCCTAAAGTCAACATCTGAGCTAGGGTATCATATCGCAAGTGGCTAGAAGGGAGCAGGTTTTAAGAAATACCAAGTTAGTTTTCTTAAAGTTAAAAATACTGCGTACTAGCTCAGGAGCCTGTTAAAAAAAGCTGGATTTCCAGGAATAGCAGCAGTGGACTTCAGAGCCAACAAGAAATTAGAAGGGAATGGGTGTTTAGGTGTACAAAAAAAAATGGCAAAAGCAGGACATGACGTAGGGCACACATAATAAAAGTGCACATCTCATACGCTGTGCCAGGCAGACAAAATATTTTTAAACGTCTTTTCAGTTGTTTTGTTGTTCTAACATGTTGGTCTTGTAAAGAACAAATAGTACTTGAATGCATTTCCTAATCCAGTAAGGCATCTTCAGTGATTTTCATCTGTTTCGCAGTAGCAGGCACCACCTGCAATCCAGGATCCAAACCGAACCCTGCTGACTGCAGAGCATCCACTGAAATGACTTGGTGATGGCAAAGGAAATTACAACAAATCTTAATAGGTAAATAATGCCAAGTGGGGGAAGGAGAAGGAAAAAGGTTTGAGAAGCCTTAAATAACATAAATTTGAGATTTTTAAGTCTCAGCATCTTAGATCTACTATTACTACTTTTAAAACAATAAATCAGTCCATCTTAATGTAAAAATTTAAATAAGTAAAAATCAAACGCTGCTAATCTCTGTTGTGGTCGCTCCAACTCCTGCTCCCCAGTGTTAACCACCTGCTTTTAAATTCTGAAGAATTCTGATAGAAGATGATTTTGAATCCCTAACACATTAAAGACAAAAATTCCTACTTCCTGTTGGTAGGTGGCTCGTTATTTGATTACTGAGACAGAAAGAGAGACAATATCCCACTAACCAAAACCAGGTAAAAGGTACCTCTGTAAATGCAAAGAGCTTCTGTCTCCATAGGTAATTAGCAAAATGACAGTGGTAGGGAAATGGTAAGAGCAGATGCTGCATGCAAAAGTTTTCTTCTTCACTGCAATAGCATATTCATTCATTTTCTATATCACATTGTTTTTAAATTTACAATCCTTCCTTCCAACAGGAAAAGAAAAGATGTGATGAGTACTGTGGTATAACATAGGTATTTTGGAAAAATATTAAAATACCTTTCTGTTATTATGTGAAAAAAGAAACAAAACAAAAACTTACTTGATTTTTCCGGGTTCCCTTGCATAATACATTGTTGAAAGAATGCGAGTGGATGGTTTCACAATTGTAATAACTGCCTCATATCTGTAAGAAACACACAGGAATAGTAGTCCTCTAATTTGTTGAGCTTGAAATAAGACTAAGTATTTTCCATGTTTTAAAATTCACTTACTTTTTTTTCTTCTTCTTTATGTATTTATCTTGAGCAAATTCTGTTTTGTCTCTGAATGTTGTACTGTTCTCTATTAACTGCTGAACTATTTCCTTGGAAGAGACAATTTAGTTTTATTATAGCTGGTATTTACTTCCCATTAATTTCATATATAGTTTTTTTAAACAAATACTGAAAATGTTTTCTTCCAGTAACGTATACCATTAACTTCTACTGACATCAACAGCAAAGGAAATTTCTATTAATAATACACTTTTGTCTCTAGGTATCCTTTAACTACATAATGCCAGCATAAAAATGATAAAACTGAAAAAGCTTATCCTGGAAACGGGGTATTCTGTGGAGAAGGCTGGTAAGTGCCAGAACTAACTCATGAGAGAGGACAGACACATATGGCCAGAAAAGAAGAAAAAGCAGGATTGTTCCTTTCAGCATCAGCAAGTCATTACTTCAGCCCTTACTGAGAAGCTGCAGTACCTACTTATTCTTATCCCATACTGAATGTGAATGAGACTACCCTGCTTTCTCCAAGAATGAGCTACTTAAAATTATCCTGTATTTAGAATGAAGCAGAGTTATGTTTATTGGCAGTTCTTATGAGCTGACTTACATTCTGTCAGTCTAACGTTCCCCACAGTAACAGGATTGCATAACAGTACCCCAAGTCCTGTACGAAGCTATATAGACTGAAATATTTTACAAAACAAAAACAAAACAAGGAACCTGATGTGATCTGCAATATTCACTTTAATCTAACTCCCGCTTTGGGTTTCCTGTCTGACTTTAGCATTTCTGTCTCTTGAGAGTATCTTTTTTCCTATCTTATGCTAGTTCTTCCCCTATAATCTGGCTATTTATTAGACATCTCCCTTAGCCCACTTAATTTCTTCTGCCTCCCACATTGTGCTAGGGTCCTGCATCGGCTCCTTGCACAATGTCAAACTCCTTAGCATTTACTATTTCCTACAATACTGCTCTGACTTCTTCCTTCTCTAGGTCCCAAGTTTTCCCAGAATTCCAGGGTTTGTTTTCTGGTATCCTTGTTCTCATCTCCTTCTTCTACCAATCCAACTCTTCCTTCTCATACTTTTGGGTTCCAGCTGGAGGGATCATTAAGACCTCCAACAGAAAAAAGCTTTTATTGCTCAGGGTTTTTCTCCATGCCTGCAATACAAGAACAATTGCTGCATGGTGCTATATTGGTGGTTGTGATCAAAGTAGTTTAACTGCTAAAATTTCATTTTATATTAAACATGTAAGAGGAGCAATAGTATAACTTGGCCTCAGAAGAGTTTGGAGAGGCAGGTGGTGAGGAAAGACAAACCGAGTATCTTCAGCATGGACACTGCATATCCCACTGCACTTTAAGAACCTGCTACAAAATGCAGTGGTACAAGTACTTCTCACTTGCTATTGCTGCTTTTCAAGCCATTATTTCTTAAAGTCCTTCAAACACTTAAAATGTATTATTAATAGCATGAAACAGCAGATCTTTCCTTTTTTATGTTGGGAAAAGTTAAATGCAGTCCCCGGGTTTTTTGGTTTTGGTTTGTCTGGTTGGGTTCCGCCCCCCCCCCCCCCCAAAAAAAAAAAAAATTACAGTGAGGAAACTGGGGAATATTTCCGTAGGGTAAGCAACACAAGCTAAAGGGAAGCTGCAGCACTATGCAATGCCCTGGGAGTACACACCCCTTCATGTCTGCATCCTAACACCTGTCCCTCGGGGCCTGGGAAGTATTTGGGAAATGATGGGGAATCAAACCCCATTAACACTGAGGTGGTTTTATTTCAAAGAACAGTCATCTCTAAGCTGAGCCTGCATCACAAAGACATGCCATTCACAAACATGAGTTCAGATTTTACCAGACGTTTATGGAAGAATAATATCTATTACTGCTAATATAACACAGTCTAAAATGAATATTCAGCTACAGCTCAGAAACCAGAGTTAACAAAGTAGGGTATTTTAATAACCTGAAATAACAGTATGGCAGATGTATGGCACAGACATGCTGAGGACATACAAAAAAGCTAGAGTGAGCTTCTGCCACATATAATGAGCAGAAATAGAGAATGCCAAAGCCGTCAGACTGATTAGTACATTCTTCTCAAAGAGATAACACCTCAAGCAGCACAACCATGGAAACAGCAGTAATACCATTCTAAACTCCTTGGACGCATCCATTATTAAGCAGGCAAAAGCAGAACATCTGCTCTGAAGAGCAACAGCAAGATGCAAAGAGGCGATTAACTTGATGTAAGCATGAGCAATTTCTTATTTTTATTAGAAAGGGTAAACCAAAGATGAGAGAGAATTTTGACTAGTAACGTGCAGAACAGAATCGGCTGCAATGGTTTGTTAATGTTTAAAATGGCCTCACTTCTTTTTGACAAAGTGCAAAGTAAGATCCAATCCCTTTTCTAACAGAACAGATTTCTTGAGAATATTCTCAGCTTTTGAGATGCAGATAAAACACATATGTCACTAGTTTGATAGGTACCACCTAGAGGCACACTGATAGTACCTTTGCTGTATAATGTTATTTGTTAATGCTTTGGTGTTTATCCAACACCTTTCCTACACCTCTGACAGTTCAATTATTGCATGATTTTAATACAACTGTAACAGAGAAAGAGTATTTTGAATCTTATAAACAAACAAAACTAAAAGGTGATTAAGCGAGCTGTATTTCAGTAATGGTTTTGGTATTTCTTTTTGTTCATTATGACTTCCGATGCCATAAAAATTCACACTTTACTCTCTGTTGACAAAGTTGCCAGCCTTACATGAAGTTTTCTCTGAAAACAGCCTTTGCATTTTGTAAAAGCAGATCTTTAGGAAAAACATGAGTAGGGCAGAAGAACAAAGAAAAAGCACTGAAGTCTATACACTGATAAAAAGAACAGCCTATTTCATACACTGAGATACAGTCATCAAGGCAGCACAGAAATGAGAGCAAAACCTTATTTTTACCTGTCCTTTAATACCCTTGTCCTTCAAAGCCTTTATGTCATCATGAGTCAGTTTTTGAGACTTTCCATCGTCAACTATGTTACGATTATCTGTACCTGCTTCTTTTGTTTCTAAAGGAAAAGGATATAGATTTGTAAAGGCTAGGTCTAAATATCTTTAAGCTGGAGAAACACATGATTTTAGTTTCACAGAAAGCAGACTTCTCAGGATTAAACCCACATGCTTCAGGGTCTTGCAAAGTATTGCATAAGTAATCAATGAAATGTAGTATGTAAAATATGGCTTATATATGTTCACCCAAACTAAGGTTCAAATTTTCTTCCATATTAAAATGCTTATTTGTCACAGGACTAGTGTAACAGCAGATCAAGACAAAACCACGCACTTTTATGACAGAAAGAATATAAGTAACGTTAAGTTATTATGATTAATATAAAGCTTTTCCATCATCTTTGGTATTAGCAAAGAAACAAATTAACTGGAACTCTTTTTTCCAACCACCAGTCAATCCTCTCCAATACCTGAGGTAGTCTCTTCCACCTCTTGCTTTGGCTGCAGGTTTCCACCACTGGTTACTTCAAATGTAGTTCCATAAATATGTCCAATGGCATTATCCAGATAAAACCACTGCTTCTCAAAAATGATTTTTCTGAAATAATAAAAAAGTTAAAGATATTAAAAGCATTGTTTTTACTACATCCGAAACTCACAATTGTTGAGAGCAACGATAGCTTCATATATGCCATTTTTAGATAGAATATTTTATCTTTAATTTCCTGTGGCAATATTTACTCTTTGACTTTTTTATTTTTTCTTATACAACAGATGTTTTAAACAAGAACTGAAAAGAAATACAACAAACAGATCTCAGCAGTGCTCTGAAAGCTAACAGAAAAACTACCTGATTTTGGTGCCAGATTCTACTGGTGTATATTGAGCTATCAATAACCAGTACTCCCCAGTTCCTAGGTCTGAGGTATGCCATTTTTCAACCAGACTCATTCAAGCAAGTACCTTTCACTCTCCATGCTACCAAATCAGATGTCTGGCCACATTACCCAGTACTGACTTCTACACATTGGCCTATAAAATTGTCTGCTGCAAGGGGACGAGCCCAGGCTGTGTCCACTGATTACAGTGTTTCCTGCTGGGGTGCAGGCATTTCTTGCTATGTCAGCTGGCCTAGGAAAAACAAATAGGAGACCTTTCACAGCATCCCCTCCAAAGTTGTCCGTAACTGACAGCTACCATCTTCCTACAGTCTTAACACTGATGATAACACTGAAGCAAATCCCTACTAACGAAGCAATGCTGCATATCACAGAAATTAGACTCCACAGTCAGATAAGTATGATGAAACTATTCTGCTCAGGCTGCTGCGCCTCTTTTCCCCGCACAAAAGCAGCTTAAATATTTCTCTTTCAGATTCTTACAAGAAATGCAGCCGGGAGATCGCCGGGTTGGTTTTTGAGGTTTTTTTTCGGTCACAGAACCTGAGGAAGCATTAAAATTATTCACGCAGCCTGTCACTGCCCT